CTGTATGAGGTTGTACTAACCAATTAACGTGAAGTTCTAAGATCGAAGTTTGATGGCACAGGTAAGACCTAAGCGGAACGTTTCGGATGATGGCGAGTAAAACGGTGCAAATCAGTTCTATTTTGTCAATCGCATTTTTTTCATAATTGATTTATCATATAATCGTTTTTTTTCCGTCAATTCTCGGGAGGTTAGCCTAACGGTTGTTTAGTGATCAAGTGTCGATGATAGCACGGACAAGTTGGTAGCTAAGAAGAAATCTGAGTTTTCTGAGTTTGCTTCTTCACTTCTTCGTTATTTAAGTGAACGTAGATCGTATCTGAGTCCTTTTCTCAAGCCGAATGTCCCATCATTTTCAGTCCTGTTGATAGAATGATCGATCATAATTCCATTATTTATGAATGCTACTTTTAAAAAGTGTATCCTTAATCGATTAGAGAACTATTTTGTTCATGGCAGTCGAGCATCCGAAGTTATTTAGCTGCTTAGCCTAGCGTGATGTGTTGGTGCTGTTATGTTTGCCAGCTTTTCTTTGAAAGATTCCTTTACCGCCCTCCCCCCCGCAGACTTATTCGATTAGAGTAAACCGGAAAGTTTGGAGGTTTCAACTGTCGGTCATTGAATGCTAGTGAACTTTTATGTGCACTCGATGGAACACAAAGCAAGTGCCAAGAATGAAACACGCTCCTGTTGACCTTTTATTTTGGAATCGATGGTGGAGTTGAAAATGGTCCATTATTACTTTGAAGCGCAGACTGAATTTTAGTTTCGTATGATACGAGAAGACATGATTTCATCATTCTTAGATCATGTTGTGTATACCAATAGAATTTCTGTACAGCTGTGCGCAATCAAAAGATTAAAAGAACATTTCATTATGCCTGTCACCTCTGTCAAAAACAAATTTATCGCTCCTTTCATCGGACAAAACTTTTACCATTGATGTTTACGATGATGAATTCTCCCTATGGAAGATCTACTTTTAGGAAAAAACAGTGAAAAGGTAGTCTCTAGTGGTTTCATTTGTACCTGTCTTTTCCGGAGTAGTACTATGCCAACCTACATTGCTTGACTGTCGCCATCCACCTGGATAAGTCACTCGTACTATACGATGCTTTGGAATGTGGGGGCAGTTTGTTTACGTCAGATGCACCGTTGCATACAATCAAAAGAGCTTTGTAGTTTTAAGACGCTGGTTCATGTCAATCTTCGTGTGGCTGAGCCATATTGTTCCACTAAATCTCACAATAATCATGACCACTTATGTTTACGTTCTTTGTGTCTTGGTTTCACTTGCTTACTAATTATGTTTATGATCAAGCAAAACCAAAAGCTCCTCACACTGTGGGAAAAGAGTGTCCTTGCTGATGTGGTTGCCGATAAAAGAGACACAATTAACCTTTAATTGAGTTCATGCTATGATGAAAGTCATCCTTTTTGTTTGCTTTCCGTTCAACCTGTTTTGTTGTTCACCGAATGATCAACTTTTGCCCTATCATTGGCCCTATCATTGCCTCTTATCTATTCCGCCGTCCCTGCTCCATTCCCTTCAATCTGCAAACCGACGATAGCAGTGCGTCTAACTACTGCTGCTCTTGTGAATCGGACTATGAGGTGGATGCGAAGATTATCAGGTAAATTGAACAAAACCACCCCACCGCTACCTATTTAAACTACCGTCTATCGGATTTGA